CCACTGATCAAATTAAGCTGTGAATGAACTTCAGTGTCGACATGCATCTACAGCTCGAGAATACACATCAGGTGAGATCTCAGCATAGATTTTAGACATTAAAACTGGTTTTCAAAGGTGCTCATGTTGCTTCTTTCATGCCTTAAGCTTTGTGTCAAGCCTTGTGTGCCTGAATGTGCAGGCTGTGACCCAGAGTCGAGTCAGAGGTCATGACAAATGGTGGCTATTTTTTTTTTCTTTTTATCTCTTTGAACATGTACAATCTTTGAGCGACGCCTTGTAGGTTTGGCAGCTTTGTTTCAGTTGTTGCTCTGTTGAGTTTAATAGTTGTCTTTAACTGAGTGGTTTTAATTTATTAGTGTAAAGCTACTATTGTATTTCTTAGGAAATAACCCAAAACGAATTAAATGCAGCATCTGTGTTGCAAGGGGGGTGAAGAGGGGTGGGTGATGGGGGAGAGGAGGGGGTTAATTGATGTAAATGAGGTGTAATTAGAGGAGCAATTTCTTTTTCCGCTAGTTTTAAAATGAATGAACTCTGTTACTTCAGCAGAAACAGAAACAATGAGAAATTTGTCTTTGCTGTTCAGGTTTTAGGCCCACAAATACTTTCCCTGCCTGCTGCAGCGTAACACTTTTACATGTCAGAGATGTACTCCTGAGGATGGAGTAGCTCTGACTTTAATCTGTTTGTTTGTTTTTAAAAAGTGTTTTTGAAGTGTTCTAGAAATATAAAATTTGGTATATTTTTGGCTTTCCCTCTACACTGCAGAGATAAGCTAACTGTCCTGTCCTATCAAAACTTGAAATTGAGTGTTGTGGTGCGTATTTGACAGCTTGGGAAATGGTTGTTGTGCGTTTGTGCGTGCAGTTTTTTTTACAATGTAGATTAGAGAATTGTGAATTCAGATTTTGTAGTGTGTGTGTGTGTGTTTTTTTTCAATGAGCATTATTGTTTTTGGTATTTGTACATAACTTGTTTTGTATTTATACCTATTTTTTCTAAAAATTTTTGGACTGTTGTAAGTCATTCAGCACTTAATGATTTGTAATATTGTGAAGTTATTAAATAAAATATACTGCAGCCATTGTTTACACATGAATTTGAGTTCCTCTTTTTTAATCATGTCAGAAAAAGCGGAATGCGTATGAATTGCTTGACATGACTCTTGGTTTGATATTCTGATGTATCGCTAATTCTTCGACATCTGTGGAAGCCATATGAAAGTTTAAACAGTGCAGGCACTGATCTAATATAAAGTGACATTTCCTAAAGAGTGACAATAAGTCTGCATCAATAGTTACAACGAAACTGAAACAGCTATAAACACATTCAGACAGGTGCACAAAGGCACCCATCATTCTTCACAAGCGTGTTGCTTTGGAAACCGCTCACAAAAGGGAGCAAGCAATCAGCAGGTCAAAGTTCAGTGGGTCACGCTGCAATGGTGTGTTGGGGGTGAAAAATCTGCAAGGAAAAACGATGTCATTAATTTTAGTCAAAGCACATTGCTGCAAGTTAGAAATGCAACTACAAGTTTCTTCAGAGATCGGTTTGTGAACACTTCTTTAGGAATAACTAAGCTCGCATGGAACTCCAAGGAGCATCCACGTGACTTTTATGATCAACACGAAGTTTATAAAGCTTTATACTCCTTACAATGTAGAGAGAGGGTGCTGGTTCTCTGCAAACTGTCTGTTAACGGAAACTACAGAACAGCTCGTGTTCTGAACAAGAGATCTTAAACAAGCATGTCAGGCATCACATGACAGCCCTGGCTGCAGGGTTTGCATGCTATCTAAAGAGCAAGCTACCTTGTTTCTGTTACTGCTACAGCAGCAATCAGCTGAAGTAAATCTTGTCAGCTGGATCGTTTAATTGCAGAAACTATAAATACCTCTTTCTGACTAATGTTCACCAGTTTGCAGCACATACCCACACAGTCCTTTAAAACACTACATGTTGTTATTTACGGCTCCAGGATGAGGAGCGGTTCTGCTTGGTTGGGAAACTTTGGGTGGACTTATAACCTATTAGTTACATGGATAGTATCACTCGTACGACTCAGATGACACTATGACACGCAATTAACATCGATATGAATCACAAACAAGTCTGTCTACCTGTTCCCACTCTGCAAAACCTTTTGTTACCATACCAACTGTAATAACAGGTACACTGGCATTGGCATCTGTTTGAGGGTGGAGTAAACATTGTTGCCTGCCCAGAAGCCAGACCACGGAGAACCTGCATGGAATGGCCCTGGACTGACAGTGCTCAGTCAGTAAGTCACAGATGATGTATTTTTCCAAAGCAGCAGCTGTCACTTAACGTCAGAGCTATTATTTATTTTTATTTTTTTTACATCAAAGCTGCTCTTCAATGCAGGTTCTTGAGGCAAATTAGTTTCAATGGAGCTCCAGTCCTATTCAATACACCTCATATGCCTATTCCAGTGGGAAACTAAAGCCCTGTGTTTTGCAATAAATCAACTTTACTTTGTCTCCCCAGTCCCCCAATTTTCAGTCATCCATGTCAACCAGAAGAGGGGGTATTTTACGGTAAGCCCAGGCCCCCCTTGTCCTGACAGGGGTAGTAAATTGATAGCAGTGCTAGTGGAGCTGAGTCAACAAGCAGCAAGATGAGGGAGATATTTTTTAGGGGGGGAGGGTGGCTGGAGGCCGGGTTCATAGAAGAACCTTATCCTGCTCCTCTGGGCTGCTGGGAAGCAAGAAGGGAAATCCGGGCAACTGGAAGATGTTGCTGTAACCTCCAACGCCGTGTGTGCGTCACAGAGAAAGAGAAGCTGTATTCGATGTACATCACTTCCTCACTGCCAAAGTTTCCCTGCTCGCAGTCTCTGAGAGGAGTTTGCTCTAACACAAGAAATGATGTGGCATGAAAGGGAAGCAACCAGTTAAATCACCCTTAAGAGGGGAAGAAGAGAGTTTCTTAATATTTAAAAAGAAAAGGGCGGTAAAGGGTGGAGACAAGGAGGGAAAACATTAAGTGAGTCACATTTCCAATAAAGCTTTGATCTTTTTCTGCATTCCTGTGTTATTCCACCTTTGTCGACCTTCCTGCACACAAATTCTCACTGCTAAACTCCAAACATCACTGAACAAAAAGGAAAACAATTTTCCCCTGTCAATTTTTCATCTCTTCTCTCCCGCCCACCCTGGCCTTGGACTTGGGTTCTTCACTACATGTTAGTTCATTGCCTGAGCAGACCGGTTTGCTCAGTTTTACAATAGGACCCGGGCTCAAAGGCTGGCTGGCATACAAAGGCTCTGCTTCTTTACTGAGTGCTGCAAAGAAACTGAAGGAGGGTATTGTTTGAACACTGCAAGCCCCTGCATTACATCAGCTAGAAGTGCATTAAAAAAAATGAGTGCATGCACAGTGAGCATGAAATCACACACGCTGCACATATGTCACAATAATAGATGCCAGCATGTATCCATGCAAGTTGCAAATATACAATATCTGTTTTCTGTCTTTCCCTGCTTAGCTTCCTCACACTTGGAGCCATGCAACAAACAATGACTGAATGAGGCCCTGCTAAAGTGGGTCGCCAACCCTATTTATGTGATGTGTGCCCTCACTTCCTTTCAAGAGTGCACATTTTTTCACAATGATTGAAAGGTTAAAGAGTGGGGTTTTACAGCTTTTCCTCTAGAGACTTTGGTCCACATTTTAAATTGTGTTGCGCCTTATCTCATAAGGAAAAACCAGAGATATGTTTGTTTGGACTCCAGAGGAACTTTTTTTCCCCCATAGCCCCCCCTTTGAGCTTTCAGTTTAAGCTCTGTGTGTGAGTGAGCGTGTGTGCCTGTGGGTGGGTGTGTGTGCAACACAACAATGATATCTTGTACTGCTATGCATGTACATTTTGGCCTGTCTGTGTTTTGGCTTAATAACACGACATGCAATTCAAAAGGAGCTTGTCTATCTTTGTGACTGCACACACAGTACCACTGTGAGCGCCCACATTTAAGACACTGCATCCATTCTGTGCTTGTTCACTGAGCGGCAGTAATAAGCGGGAAAAGAGAACAGATAAAATCCTTTAAACAAAAAGTAATCCTATTTTTGCTGATTGAATATGATAGAGATAATCAGTTACCTGTTGAATTGGCAGTAATTCAGTTTTTCCCTTCATGTATCTAATGTAGGCAAATATGTGGTTTTGTGGTAACGCTAAAGGGAGCGACTAAAATCAGCCATCTGCACTTCATAGTGTATTTTATCGCTGCTCAGCCTGAGGCAATGTTCACTGATACAACTCCTTTTTTCAAGTTGACAGGCTTAACAATAGCAGGCATGCAGGACTTATGTTAGACACACAACCCTTGCCTTTCCCCCCCACCTCTCTGATGCACTAGGTCTTCTTTTCTTTTCCCTTTTTTCCCTTTCTTTTCTCCCCAAACGACTACAGGAAATGTCAGTGAGGAGGGATATCAAAAATCCTCCCCTTTGAGAAATATCTTTTCATTAGATGAAAAGGAAGAAGAAGGAAGCTTTGGAGCCTCAGCCAAGAGGATCAAGGTGCAAAGACGCAATGAGCCATATAATTAAAGAGCAGCGCACATAAAAACCCGAATCCTTTTCTCGGGTTTAAAGAAATACCTTTTCCTCCTTCCAGTGTTTTGGTAAAACTGCAAAGTGCAGTTTTGAAAGACAGCATTCAGTGACAGTCGATAAACTGTCCTATCATCCCATCCATTGAAATTCTTCTCCTTAAGTTAAGTCTGTGAAGGAGGAATTCTGCATCCATGGCGACCGGACTATAGTTTGCATAGAAATGAGAAGTATTAATGAAAGAGGTGGTGACAAGAACACACACACACACACACACACACACACACACACACACACACACACACACACACACACACACACACACACACACACACGCTTTTCTCTCTGTTTCTGGTTTGCCAGAAAGCACAAACATTCCCACGTGACGGTGGAGTTTGCTCCCTCCCTCACTGAATGCGCTCAGTAGCGCGCTGGTGCACCTTCACGCGCACACGTCCTCGGAGTCGCTCGGGACTTGCAAAGTCTAGTTTGACTCAACTTTCCACCTTAAAGACTTTGTTCAAAGGAACTCAAACTCAGATGAATACGGTGTTTTTTTTTATTATATATTTTTTCAGTTTCCGCAAAGGAAGGAGGGAGTGACCGTACTGTTGCCCTTCTTCTTCTTCTTCCACTTCAAATGGGACTTACATGCGCGCGTGTAACTTTGCCTCACTTTTCTCTTCACTGACTGTCGGACCCGCTTCGCCCGAAACATGCCGGAGCGAATAAGCGTTTCGGACTTTGTGATCCTGACAAACGAGGATTTGTCTTCTCCGGGGACTTCAACGTTTCAGTCTAAAATGAGCGACTGTCGGAGCACAGTTTCAGCCGTGGAGGAGGTGAGAGTTGTGGAAGGGGGAGGTGTGTGCAGAAGACATACACCTTTGTTGTTTACCTGACGTTTTACCCCTACCTGTAGCTTGTGTTTTTTTTTTTAAATTTATTTATTTTTAAACTCAAGCTTTAATTTTCTTTTTGTAACACAGTTTGCACGTGAGCACAGGTTTCAGCAGTAAACTTGCGGTGTTTCACGGACCGGTAATTTATTTCCAAAAGGTATAGAACCTACAAATGCAAAGTGCTGTGGCTTTGTGTCGGAAAAAGCGGGACTGTCAGTGTATTCATTTTGGAATTTCATGGTTCCCAGTTTAGAACATGGGAATAGGTTATGTTTTCTGAAATGTGCAAATTGATGGGTGCTGCACTTGTACAGGACAGGCTTAGAGTGCGTATATGATCTGTTCAGTATAAACCCCAGTGTCTGATTCAGCAAATAAGTGAAGGTTACATGAGGTTACAGTGTTTATGTCGTCGGTCTAGTGGGAGTCAGAGTGGTGGGACACTAACAGAACACACACGACACAGAAACATGCCTGAGTCACACAGAGTGATGGATTGTGTTTGTAAGGGTAAGCATGCACACATGCCCATAGCTGCAAGCAAGTCTGTCTGCATGCCCCTCTTCATAACTAGTACTTTGAAGACTTGTTTAAGGCTTCTCTGTGTGCACATTGGTGTTTTGTTTGAAATCTCTTCTCTCAAAGCTCCTCGCGCAAACGAGGAAGCAGAGGGAGCCCACTATGAACTTGGCCATAAAACAAATATTCCAAATGTGCATGTCAATACTTCCTTGTCTGTATTCTTTGTGACTAAACTTTGTAGATCAGGGTTCTGCTGCGGTCCATATGGATTTGTGTTTTTGGTTAGAGTCACATCAGTCTGAGTCACTGCTCCTAGCCTGGATATCTTGATGCCCACCTCTAATAAGAGGAAACCTCACCATAGCCTGAGAGAGATGAAGGATCTTCTTTAGGAGTTCCTTGGCTTGAAAGTGAGACTAAGTGGAGACTTTAGAATAAAGAAGAGCATTTTAAACAGCTGTGTGATGGATTTAACTTGGGCTCATGTCCTTATTTATCAGCATGACACGCTGGAAAATACATGGCTGGAATTGCTGTTTAGGGAGGGTCACGCTGGAATTCTACACATGTGAACACAACCAGATGTAAGGGCAGTTATTTCTTTTCATAGATGCTCAGATTATAGTTATCATGTTCAGTCAGCTCATCCAGGACTAGGTTGATTAGTGGCAGGAGTAAACCACAAGAAGAAAAGCAGAAGTAAACAGTTTCACTTTCTTTAGCAATAGGCAACAGTAGGTCATGTCATTCCCAGACATGCTTTTAAGAATCAATCTAATCTTGATCAATTAGTTGATGTGTTGAAATGTTAACACTTTGTAACAGATCATATATCAGTCAAGTCATCCAATGTTAAAGTCTACTCACACACCCGTACAGTGGGAATACACAGCCATAGATAATGAAGCAAAGTAACTGTAAGTGACACTATCAACATGAGTACACATGCATTGTTAGTCTATTTCAGCTGAATGGTGGGTTGTCTCTAAAGTTTTTGCGTGCTCTTTCTCACATTTAGTTCATCAAAAGCAACCTGTTTCACTGACCTGCCTCAGCTTGTTTCCACTGTTTATTGCCATCTGCCAACCAACTCACCAGAGGAAACTCCAGCAACTCCCATCTCCAGTCTCCTCTAAATCACTTTCCCACTTCTTGACTATGGCGTCACATAACGGAACACACCCGCACCGCCTTTTAATTAATGAACTAACATTTAGGGAGTGGACCCGACCGGGAAGGCCTGTGGTTTGTAAACAACACCGTCCGATGAGGCAGAGTGTCTGTTAAGTCTAGATTGCTGGCTCATTAAAGCTATTTCTGGTGACGTGTAGGTGGAGTGTCGTAAGTGTAGTTCATTTAAACCAGGGCCCGCGAGAGGAGCATAAACAATATGTAGCTTCAAATAGTTTGGGCTTTGAAGAGTTATTGTTCAAATACAATGAAGGCATTTTAATGTCTGTTTCATGTCTTTGTTATGCAATGTTTTTTTTTTTTAGTCTCACAGTGAAAACCTGTTGTTTCAACGCAGACAGTGACAGGTGAAATGCATATTGTGACATCATTTGGGACTGTACACGACAGTGAAACGCAGACTATCATATGCTGGGTGAAGGCTTACTCATCTGTTTTGGCTTTGTCACACATCGTGAGAAAATTAAACCAACACAGTTTCTCAATGTATTTTCTGAAAAGTGTACCAATACACTTGCTGGCACTTTATTAGATACACCTTTCTAGCATTAGATTGAATCCCATTCAGAAGTGTCTTAATTCATTGTGGCATCGATTCTACAAGTTACTGGAAACATTCCTCAGAGATTTTGTCTATATTACCACCACAACATCATAGTTGTTTTTACAGATTTGTTGGCTGCATGTCCACGGTGTTAATCTCTGTTTTACCACACCTTGAAGTTGCTCTGTGGGATTAAGATCTGGTGACTGTGGAGGCCCTTTAAGCGTCACAATCAAAAAAGCAGTTTGATATGATTTGAGTATTGTGAGGTGGCACGCTATCCTGCTGGAAGCAGGCATCAGAAGATGGATACACTGTGGTGATAAAGGAATGGACATGGTCAGCATTGCTGAGCATTGTTTAAATGCCAAAGGATACTTTGGCATTTAAACAATGCTCAGTTGGTAGTAAGGGGGAGAATATAGGTCAAAAAAATATCTACCACACCGTTACACTGCCAAAGACTTGAAGTGTTGATACAAGACAGGATGGATCCATGCTTGCATGTTCAGACCCCACTATTCACATTTCATAGCCAAAATCAAGACTCATCAGACCAGGAAATTTTTTTTCCAGTCTTGTGTTGTCCGGTTTTGATGAAACCGTGCGAAATTGTAACCTCAGTTTGCTGTTCTTAGCTGACAGGAGTGGCACCCGGTGTGGTCTTCTGCTGTTGTAGCCCATCTGTTTCAAGATTCAACATGCTGGGCATTCTTGGATGCTCTTCTGCTTACTTGGCTAAACTTGGTTATTTGAATTAAATTTGCCTTCCTATCTCATTGAAGCAGTCAGTCTGACATCAACGAGGCATTTTCACCCAGAGAACAGCTGCTCATTGGATGTTGGTTGGTGATGATTGTCGTATGGGTGGGAAAATCACAGTAGATCAACAGTTTTGAATTATCCAGACCAGGCACCAGCAATTAAGCAAAGTTCACATGAACTTAAATCAGTTTTCTTCCCCATTCTGGTGCTCAGTTTGAACTTAAGCAGGTCATGTTAATGATGTCTACATCCCTAAATGGACTAGGTTGCTGACATGTAATTTTCGGTTTTAGATATGTGTATAGACAAGGAGACGAACTGGCGTAGCAAACAAACTGATGTAACGGAGAATTCAGTAAGCATACTTTTTGCTGTAAATGTTGAGTTACTGCAAGTGCAAACATCCTTATCTCTTCCTGATTTCTCTTTCTTTGCAGTCTCTGGAGACAGACCACATAGCCCTACAGAGGATGAAGAAAACAATCAAAGCTATACACACTTCTGGAATCTGTAAGTGCCAGCGTGTCACATGCAATTCTCATTCACTCAGTAGATTATGAGTTAAAGAAAACAATTCTACCTGCACTTATTACTTAGAAAAGTCCCCTTAGTTCTCTTTTTTTTTGTACATGAAAAAGGTGATACCGGAGAAAATGCAACAGAAGCACAATAAATTAGCTTACACAAGCTGTAGTTGCACATAAGTTTGTATTTAAAGTGCTACAGTGCAAAAGGGAGCAACAGAAATGGGAAGAAAGTAGGGTAATTTAAAAACAAAATCCCCAGATAATGATTTCCATCTATACAGAAAGTAAAATGGCCCATCTCTCGCTAGCCAGCTGTCAAGTAAAGGTCAACCTCTATTTTGACTGTATGATCTGCTTTGTGCATAGGGGAGCCTTCAGTTCAATTCAGTTTTATTTATGCAGCGCCACGACAACAGCCACAACAACATTTCCTTACGTTGTAAGGTAAAAACCCTACAATATTAAAAAGAAACCCCAACAAACACGTGATCCCTTAAGGGTGAGCACCTGGCGACAGTGGGAAGGAAAAACTCCCCTTTAACAGGAAGAAAACTTCCAATAGAGCAAGGCTCAGTGAGGGGCAGGTATCTACCACAAGCAGCTGGGGGGCGAAGGGGAAAAAGAAAAGAGCAGTGACACACTATGAGAGAAAGAACCAGAGTTTAATAATTACTAATGACCCTTAACATAATTTCTGCTATGGATGACATCATCCGACTTGTGTTTAAGAGTGAGGCCCCCTATTCTGGCACCCAGGGATGATGTTTATTTAAACAACACACTCTATTGTTATGGACTGTGTATGCGTTGGATTCTGTGTTTAAAGTAAATGGCTTTGGTGGTTTCGGCAACTACAAGGCGCCCTCTTCATTGACCTCAGTATCCACAAGGTCACCAAGTGAGTGCTTTCTGAGTTTGTGTGTGTGTGTGTTGTGTAGATTTATGTCACTGTAGCTTGCCGCAGAGCTGTCAGATGTGGGCATGAATAACACATTAATGCTCACCTCAAAAATGTGTTGGAGAAACAGAGAAAATGCTTAACATGTCCCGAGTTTGTTTTTCTAAAGTTGCTTGCAAGCCTTGCTTCCCATTTTAAGGCATCGGCTTGTACTTTTTAGTAAAATGAGTCAGCAGGCTAGCTGCACAGAGTTAGGCAACCAGATGTATTCAGCTGTGCTATAGCATCTATAAAGAAATATTTTATTATTGTTTGCTTTGTCTAGTTTTTGTCTCTCTAAGTGGAATCATTACGGTTAGTTCCAGTAATCCGAGGCTGGGAGGCCCTTCCCTTTCACTCATTATGCTATTGAACCTATTTAACAGTCCTGATGTTAGTTGTGGACCAACAGTGTGACTCACAATGATAAAAAGCCTGACTCCCACCCCTCCCCCGTGCTGGTTTGATGCTCTGTTACTGTGTCACGTATTTGCAAATTAAGAGATTCTTTTATTTCTTTCTCTATTCCCATAAGTACTCAGCACTTGTTTATGCCAAAATGCTGTGGCCTGTGAGTCTGTGTGTGTTCTAGTAGAGCAGTGAAAAAGCAGAGTTGCCCCGGTGGTATCTGGCAGTTAAAGGTCAGCTGTAACGTCATCCTTTGAGCTATGCAGCGACTCAGCTGTTTGTTATTTAATAGTTGCACGTATGTTTATTGTAATAATTTTTCTTTTCAGCGGCCATGCAGCCACAACCTCTGCAGTTTTCATGCAAACCCCTAGATCTCATCTCCTCCATCCCGCAGTTTGTCTGCATTCCTTCCTTAATTCACAATTTTTCTGTCAGACAAAATGTTCCATTTCTGCTTTTCAGCCAGTGTTAGCCTGTCTCCCATCTGCAGTCAGTTTACCATTTTATATTTGTCTTGAAGTGGAAGTGGAGCAGAAACTTGCTGTGCTTCCTCCCCATTTCTACTTCTGTCTGTTTAGTCAGCTCTGGGTGCCTCTACAGATGTCAGGTCCACGTTATAAGGAGCCCATATTTGTTGATTTACATCCAAGATTTCCTAGCTTGCATTATAATGTGTGTTTGTTCATCCTCTTTCCAAAAAACCTGTAGAATGAAACCTTGTTTTATACTACGTAAGCAAAAGTCGTGCCCAGATTCTTCTCCATCAGCACTTGTTCATAAATATTCAACAGACCGAGAGCTTACAAAAGTTAAGAAAGGGACCTATAAGCCTCTTGGACAAACATGAATTTCTATATGTTCTACTCCTCCTCCTCCACTGGGTGTAAACCAGTGCTAATTTGTCCCACATGCTCGCCTTGTTAAACTATTCCCAAGACAACAAGTCAGTCTGCCTTTGTCAGATTTTCTGTGCCTGTAAATTACTCTGAGTCACTCCTTACGGTCTGTATCAATACTTACTATGTGTGTTGTTTTTCAGCACATGTGGACTGCAAGGAGCAGTATATTGAGCTGCTGGAGAACTTGGGAAATAGCCACCTGACTCAGGACAACAATGAAGTCTCCACAGGGTTCCTCAACTTGGCTGTGTTCACCAGAGAGGTCACATCCCTCTTCAAAAATCTGGTGGGTTAAAAAGGACAAAAGATGGGAATACAAGGGAAAGGAGACATTTGCTTAAATTCTGCTGCTCTTACTAGAGTTGAAATCATTTACACTAGTTGCATAGAACTAGGACTAAGGAATACATGGCTCTAATATACACAAATATTTATATAATCAGAGAATTTTCAAAGGAAATGTGCCAAATTTCCTTTGTTGTTCCCCATAAGCACATATGTGTGCTCACATACTTACATGCTGCATGAACGAAGGTGGTTTTTAACAGCTGAATACTTGGGCTTTTTGTTTGAGGCAGTCCAGAACCCTCCCTCTGATAGTTTCTTTGGTGATGATAATTCATCCCAGACCTCTACGTGTGAGTCAGCACACACACACACACACACACACACACACACACACACACACACACACACACACACACACACACACACACACACACACACACACACACACACACACACTTAACATGTGTTTGTCAGGGCCTCACAGGGGCGACTACAGCTTACAGATGTTAAAGGAAGTGGGCCCAAAGGAGGGTGATTTAAGGAGTCGTACTGCAAAAAACTGCCTGAGCATGTCCCTTAATGCCTCGTTTGAGTGTTAGTGTACGTGCCCCACTGTCTCAGTGTGGGTATAAACATGAATCCATTGATCCATGTCATCTGTCCATTTGTTGACATTGGAAGCCGGAATTTCCCTGTGTAAGAACTCTATGTGTTATCTATCGGTTACCCCAGTGTTTGGCTGCCAACCAAAACAAACTTGCCACTCTTCAGGCTGCTGTGTCAATATATCAAGGTTAGCTCTACAGTCGGCTCAAGGATGTGGTTGGACATTAGTTATGTTAAGAGCAGGGTTCGGCTTGGTTGTAATTCACCAGAAGCCATAAAAATAAAATCTAGATGATAATTATCTGGGGATGTGTATCGGTGAGTCATGATGAATGTATGTTGCCATGCATGCCAAAATACTCATGTGATGTACTTAGATGGAGGAACTGGTTGTATTACAGTAAAAGCGACTTGTTGGGGTTATACAGGTTGTTTTGTGATTCATTCTTCCCAAATCCACAATGGCGTTAATCTAAACCTCATCCAAATCTCAAATGAATCTCACTTTACTTTATACAAACACTTCATCCAGAGTCATTGCATCATCCTCCAACTTGGATTCGAGCATTGTAGTGGTGCAGTGTTTTGTTTTTGATGACTCGTTAGTTCAGAATAACAATATCACCGTGCTTGTGAGTTATCAATTTCTCATTCCCAGAAATGCTCGTACAGACAGTCAGAGTGCGTAAAACTCAATGTGGGTGCATCTGTTTCTGCTTATACTACAGCAGCTAAAGGTCATCTGTGGCATTTTACGAAATATTTTTCCATTCTTCACTGATTTTTTTTTTTTTTTTTTGTTCTCTTACATGCTTCAGGTACAAAACCTTAACAACATCATGGCGTTTCCTCTGGAAAATGTGCTGAAGTCTGAGCTTCGAGACAGCAGATTGGTGAGTCTGGATTTTATTACATCCGGTATAAATGAAATTCTCATTTAAATACTGCAACCTAAACTGGTTCACATGTGATAAAGTTTTATCGTTATTGTTTACCTAGCAACAGATATGTGGATTGTAATCCCTTTTTTGAAAAAAGAAATGCAGATTTTTGTCAAATATGTGAGGATAGCTCAATATTATAAAATAGAAAAAGATGTTTAGATGTTACAGTTCACACAGAAATCTTCAGATGAGCCAACCGAAAGCCTCGTGATGACTTTATATAGTCAAGATGCAGTGCTTTGTATGTGAGGAGGTTCTGTTTGTGTATGGGATATCACTGTCTGGAAGAATGATTCAACTATTGCAGTGTAAACTTTATTTTAGGGCAGATTTCCTCTGGCAGAAGTTGTATTCACTTAAATGTTGACCCCACTAAAGTATTCTTTAATATAAGATTATTTATCCAAATGAAATAGTAAGAGTTTGCTACGTTCCAGCACAGAACTTACCCGTCTTGCCAAGTATTTAACCTTTTGATTTGCCATGCTAACACACTAGTGAATAATAACTAGCCAGTGCTTCTGCAATCTCCCATCTCTGCCCTGTCTTTTAAACAGCTGACTCTGCAACTGAATATTGCTTCATTATAACTGTGAAAGAAGGCACAATGCCCCTGAAATCCTGTTCATCCAGATAGCAGACTAGCCGACTAATTGCATCACAGTGTGTTACCTGTCTCGCTCCACCCGCTTGAGCAATAACCAGGAAGAGCTGTAAAGTACAGTTATTACTGTGTGTAATGCAATGGGGATATATTATTAATCGTTTTCTCTCCTCTCCCCTCAAACAGGAGCTCAAGAAACACATGGAGAAGAGCTGGAAGGATTATGATGTAAAAATGTAATTATCCATACTCTGTCCATACTGTTACTTCACATTCATCTGTAAGAGTCAGACTGCAGTAGAGTTCTTCATCATTGGCTCATTGTTTTCCTGAGAGTAAACAACCTTTTAAAAGCTGCACTGTAGATATGATGTAGTAATGCCATAGCCTCATGTGACATTTTGATTTGTGCGATGATAACGGCGCCGTGAAATGAAAATGTTTGTATGTCAGAGGCTGTAATTGTATCTGGCTTGCAAGCCGGTAATCTTGGAGTGCAGCCTCATGCCTTTTTAATAGGATGGCTAATCCACGTATAGCCCTCTGTGTCCTTGTCCTCTGCATTGCAGCAACTTCAGCAAAAGTAACGTTTGTTTCACATTAATTAACTCCAGCTCTATTGCCTCTTCATATGCAGTTTTAGTTGCCCTTGTCTGATGTTAGCAGATAAACACGATATATACACTCATTTCCAGCAAGTGTTTTTCTAGTGAATTTGCAAAATAATGCAGACACGAGGGTTCACAAAGTGTAAATGCTCATAAATTCATAGCCACTTGCACAGGCCTCACATTGATGCATGACAGAAATATAGATGAAGATGGTGACGAATGTGTTTGTTTCAAAAGCTTCATGTATTATATTTCCTTCTCATGTGGGGTTTAGGAATTTGTGTGGCAGCACAAGTTAATAAGATAATGATTCATATCCCAAGGTCATTTCCAGTTACTTTAAAAAGAAATCAAGCCCAAGCATTTGCACTTTACAGCCGTTATTTGATTTCAATCCAGCTCTGGTTCAAAGTGTTTTATAATGCTGTAAGGAGATTACATTTCATCCAACTTCCTCGCTCGACATGAGAAAGGGAAGCATGATGGTGGAGTTAAAGCTGCACATGTTCATACAGATGGAGCTGATCAGATTTAGCTTTTGTGACAAACATCGTGTGTGCAAGTAAAGACGGAAAACCTTCTTTATGTCTTCTTTTCATTCTTTCTTCCATTCCCTTCCCCCCTCCAGAGTGAAGCTAGAGAAGGAGAGGAGGGAAAAGAACAGGCAGCTGGGACTGATCAGGACAGAGGGATCAGATGGAGCAGAGGACATGGAGAGAGAGAGACGGATCTTCCAGCTGCAAATGTGTGAGGTGGGGAATTGGTGCCAGTCAAAATACCATACTCCAGACTCCGTTGGCATATCTGAGCTGGGCTTCATTTACTTTACCAGGGTGGTCTGCTTATGTGGATTACATATTCTATTCATGGTGGACACTGGTGGTCACTCCTTTTTGTGTCTCTTCAATCCAATTCCTTTGATGGAAAAATATATTTCATTAGACTTAAACATGAGCATAGTTATTGAGTCTCAAAACTGAATTTCAGAATAGGTGGTGTCCTATAGATTAGCATACAAAGAAAATTCAGAAGCAGGTAATTGTGCATCATCATGCATAATCAATCACCAGATTGGGGGAAATGGGTGAAAAATGCACTTGTGGTGTAGTCCTAACTGAGTTTGGTGGTGCACATGCAGCTGGAGAAAAGCCTGAGGAAAAGAAATAGTCTTATCTTGACTGAGACCAGCTGTGGAGACAAAGAGGAGAGGCAGGGGAAGATGAAATTTTCACTTGTTGCAGCTTACCCTAAACCCTCTGTCTATTAATCTTTCTTTCCACCTACATATATGTAAACTCAGTAAATCACACAAAATGTCACATGAATGAGCAACACAGAGCTGTTTCAGGTAGACTGTGATGGACGAATCCAGATGAAGGTTATATGGGGCAAAGACTCGAGTACAATGTAGTCATTCAATCCACACAGAGCTAAAACCCCATCGCTCAAAGTCTCTCTCTCTCTTTTTTTACATTTCATCATTACATACTGTGAATTTGTGTGTTTTTGTTTATCAATAAAGACTCTTTACATTCGAGCTGTACAGTTAAAATATGCAGTAAACACATTAAAGGTGTGCACTCAAGGGTGGAATTTAAGCTACTGAAAAACGGTAGCGTCATGCTTCGCTGCATGTTTTTACAGACCCATCGGTCCTTTCTATGGAGAGTGGTTTCAGAGGTGTTTTTAACTGTCTGTTTTTATTCTTTTAGTACCTTTTGAAGATCCAGGAGCTGAAGGTGCGTCAGGGTCCTGATCTTCTCCAGAGCCTCATCAAATATTTCCAGGCTCAGCTGAGGTCAGTATCTCAGCTGGCATCTACTTTCACAGATATGTTGAGTTTTAAGGGATTCTGCACAGCAGTCGGTCTTTTTGCAAAGCCTGTTGCGGTTCTTGTTAACCATTTACACTTTTTATTCCTACCTAGGCTTTTTTTTTTTTAATGTGGGAGTGAAACTGTTGTTACAGTTACAGCATGTGGTGTTTTAGTTGGTGTGAAATCAGATGTTTAAACTAAAGTAGCTTGTCTCAGCATTTGTTCTTTTTCTGATCTCAGTTTCTTTCAGGATGGGCTGAAGGCTGCAGAGAATCTCTCTCCCTTTATCGAGAAGCTTGCTTCATCTATTCACACGGTACACATGAAAGCTGCTCTTGTGTTTTTCACTCCTCCTGGATTATATGCATGTTTTTTCTTACCCAGTGTTGCTGTAATTTTAAAAGAATATTTGATTGCACTAAGAAGTCAAAATATGCACATACCCCACATATTGATGCTATCATTCTAACAGACTACTTTTCTTCATTCATTTATGTTTGGGAGGAAAATACTGTGCACATATAGAATTTTACAGTAAAACCCTGTGTTATGTTTCAGCATTTACTTTTTCAATGTTGGTCTTTTGCAACAGCCAACCCCCTCTTCACTGAATCCACAAGCAGCGACTGTTTAAAGGAGTCTCTACCCAGAAATGCTTGCCCTGGTTTCCAATAGATGGAAATGAATGTATCATTCATTTTCATACTTTCCTTAGTACACATCTATTTCTCCAACCGCTTTAACTGGGTTTCTGCCTGCGCACTATTTGCCGTGCTCCATTTTTCTGGTTGGAGCTGCTGGAAACAGACTGTTAACTGTGATACTGGAAACGTTAGAGGTTTTTCTGGTTCTTCATGGGCAGAACACAGAGCCGTTCAGACATGCCAGACCTCAGTCTCGGGAAGGAAATTCAGATAGAATCTGTGTCATGGTTCTCCAGGAAAACAAAATACTTAAACTTCCCAGTTAAACTGGCCTGTGTTGCTTGTGAGTGTGGTCATTCTGCTTCTTAATTCAAAATGAAAAACCTCAGAAGACTACACACCCAAATACTGAACTCTGTTCTAGATCATTTAGATCGTTACACAAAGCTGTGTGTTGTCTTTCCACACCCAGAACAAATGAAAAAAGAAAAACATGTATGTGATCAAGTGAACATATTCTCTTCTTCCAACTTTTTTCTTCTTTTTTTAGTAAAAATATTTTCATGGTGTGTTTTGTAGGTTCGCCTAGACCAAGATGAAGAGGTAAAACAACTCACACAGTTGAGGGATTCTCTTAGATCACTTCTACAAGTGGAGGGCAAAGAGGTATGTTTATTTATGTTAGTCTTTATTTATGTCTGGTAAGTTAGCTTACTGTAGACCTTTTAATTTGTCTGTGTAAAACCAATATCAGCGCTATAAAAAGCCCAGGTGCACTGGCTTTAAGTTTCCTGCTGATTACAACAGTAGTGTTTTGCCACCGTTGTTATTGTATTGCTTTGAATTTTTATAATCTGGACAACTGGTTTGAAGCTTTAAAGTTAAATCCTTAAATCACTGTTTATATTCCAGGAGTACCTCAACAGGAAAAACTCTGGCAATGGGTATAGCATTCACCAACCGCAGGGAAACAAGAAGTACGGAACGGAGAAATCCGGTTTCCTGCTTAAGAAGAGTGACGGGTGTGTAAAGGCATTAGCTGGTGTCATGTATGAAGTTGGAACACAAGCATTTTGCAGGAATCGCAAGTACATACAGAATAAGAAGAATGGGGTAAACGGTGCTCACTAACATTGTAAAAGACAGAAATGATCTCAGCTGGGTGAAAATTAAGTAAGTATGGCACAGAGAAAGAAAGGCTAATGCAAACTTCATCTGCCCCAGCTGGTCTTCATTATTGTGAGATGAACATTCAAGCAGGGGCCCCTCCTGTGGAACTTATTGGCAGACTGGCTAGCTAGCTGATCCAACATTTGCGTCATGCGCATGCACGAACAGACACACACACACAGTCCTAGATTAGTGTGTGATAAAGAGAGGGGATGTGGTTCAGTAGGGCAAATAGGAGGCTTTGGGGGAGTAAACTTTTCTCAGGCCACTGACAAAAAATAGAACATGTGCTTTAGCAGTTTTACCTGATTCAATCAAGATGACGAAAACTGTACTGTGAATAGGAATAATCTGGGCCAGCAGCGTGTATCTAATGGTATCTGTTAACACGGCTTTCACTTAATGCACTGCACACATCATACAGAGAGTTAATAAATATATTCATGTATTTGATAGTTTTTTTTTTAATAATAATTGGCCTTTTTCTTCTTCATTTGTGTTTCATCTCAAAGGATAAGGAAGGTTTGGCAGAAGAGAAAGTGTGGAGTCAAATTCGGCTGCCTGACTATTTCCCACAGTACGGTGAGGACTCATGATTGATACTGTGCTTTTAGACAATAAATGCCACATGAGGTAAACTGTCAGCAGTGAATACAGCAAATATGTGAGCAAATACATACTGATACAAATGTGTTTGTCTTCAGATCAATCGACCCCCAGCCAAGCTGAACCTGCTGACCTGCCAGGTGCGACCGAACCCCGAGGACAGGAGGACCTTTGACCTTGTCACTCGTAGGTTTATTTTTAACTTTTGACCTTCAAGCTTTCCCCTCAACATATGATCATTACAGACTGGGGATGGGTATTGATAAGATTTTAACGATTCCGATTCCATTTTCGATTCTGTTTAACGATTCGATTCTTTATCGATTCTCTTATCGATTCTTTTTTTTTTTTTAAAAAAGGAGAACACTAAGGTCGATTAGCTCAGAGCTTTGTTTTATATCTTCTCTTTGAACAAGATAGAAATTTAGGAGTAACATGGCCTTACAAACCCAACAGTGAGATCTTGAGAGATCCAGCCTACGGCTCTTCAATGGGGTGTCACAGGGTCCCCAGGAAAAAAAATTGTAAATGTAAAATAATAAAATAAATATTCTTGTGAGACATATCACATATTGACGGGGTCGGGTTATGTTAAAAAGTATAAATTGTTATACTTTGTTCATTGGTTCAAAGGTACCCCACACTTCTTTTTTTGTTTGCTTGTTTGTTCTGGTGTATTTTTCATTTGAACTGTTACTCTGCCAGAGTACTCATATTTACAAGATGGCATTGAACGCCCCATTGGTGTATCAGGAAAACTATTTTGTACGTATGTTCCTTGAAGGGGATTGAAGTCGTTCTTTTTTCCACCGCAGCGAAGGGCTAGGAGTAGGAGAGGAGCTGCTGTATGTTTTTGTTATCGAATCGATCTGATTGTGAAATAAAGCATATGCAGTGAGAAAGCAACTCCAGGAGTCATCCCTGCCTTAAAGCTGCAACATTCTTCTGTAGCAATAACAAAGTATAACATAAATTGTTCTGTGGCAATTACACAAGAATATCCAGTAATGTCCCTGCCCACAATTAAACACATTCACTTACCAAAAATCGGGGGCATCTGCTGTGGCAAATGGGTGCAAGCCTTTGACCACAAACTTAGACACTGCTCTGTGACATTAGTCTATCCTGGCCTGAAAGGAGACGCTACCGGTAGACTGCAGCGAGAACTACCAGCGAGCGCCAGCCAGACTCTGTCTGTCTCTCTCATCATGGTCACCTACATGTACAGTAATGGCAGGTCTTGTAATAAGGCAGATTGCGCTAACATAATATGCACTGTTAGTTGATTATTTACCTGCCGCATTAACGGGAGAGGACGTGCAAACGTTAGCGCTGCTGCTGGGTTGAGAGTCACGAGTCCGGAGCGGAATTAAAAACGCGTGTCATCGCGTGTTTTGTGAGCAAATGCTTTTGCATATTCGTAGTGTTTCCTCCCTTAAATGAAATATCTACTTTGCAAGTTGCCCTGTTGTCATCGGTTCTCATAAAGTATAATCAAACTTTTGAGCGTTTGAGCCGCTTAGGCGCCGTGTTTCCTGCCAGGTAAATGACGCTCCGCAACGTGGTGACGTCATTCGGGGCGACTGGAATCGATAAGGGAATCGTTTGCAAAAATGGCAAACGATTCCAAGGAATTGAAACAGTGGGAACCGGTTCTCAACAAGAACCGGTTTTCGATACCCATCCCTATTACAGACTGTAAACAGTCATCTGCAGCACAGATGACTTGGAAACTTGCCTCTTTGGTCCTCACATTTGAAATCAGGATCTGAGACATTTAATTTTGGTGTAAATGGCAGACATTCCCAGTGATTAATATGAAGTGCTGCGCGGTAAAACAGAGGTGGTTGTGTGCTTCACGCTTGTTTTATGCCATGTCTAGTTGCGCAAGCTTTATATTGACTGTTGTCTTTCAAGCCTCTCTGCTCCAATTTCTACTGTGTAATTTAGTTTTCAAGATAATATTTAACTTTTGTTTTTTCCCTCTCGATAGATAACCGGACATATCATTTCCAGGCAGAAGACGAGCAGGAATGTTTGATGTAAGCTTTGAAAGTCCTGTAGGCTGCATGCTGGCATTTTTGTCTGTTTTCTCATTATAAAGCAAGTTGTTGCATGCCATACCCTTTTTATGTCAGTGGAGTTATGTATAAGAAAGAATCTTTACAATGTACACATGAACAGCCAGGACTCCAGTCAGAGACAATAAATCGTTCCTGTAAGGAAAGGGTTAAACATGTTTTCATGAAACAAGAAACGCTATAATTTGACGGCTCATGCAGTAAAGAACAAGCTGAGCTGACAATTTACAAAAAGTAAGACAAACTAAATGATGCAGAAAGACTGTTTGAGTCTGACAGAAACCTAGTCTCTTCTGGGTGGGAATTTTCTTGGTAGCCACAGGCAGCAAGCAGGGGAACTTTGTGTGTTCTGATGTGGTTTTGGATGGGATTGCAAGTGGGGTTCTTCGTCCGCTGTCCTTCCCTTCTGTGTGGGCCTCCAGGCAGTTTCTTTGATGTGATGAGCTATGTAAGTTTAGGGGTGCAATAACAAATGGTTTAAATGGAAAAGTACCCGAGCTTCAGAAATGATAGATGTGAGAATCACTAACTCATATTTCTATATTACTCATAATTCAACAACAAAAAACATGCATAAAAAATAGTTTAGCATTTTTTGATGTTTTAGTGAAAGAGTCTTCTCGTTTCCCATGGTGTCGCTGACTCTCTGTGGTTTAAACTTCAAAATGAATTGTTACAATATATGAAATTTAATAACAATGTTCTAAATGTATATCGTTTGCACTTTAGTTGGGTGTCCGTGCTGCAGAACAGTAAGGAGGAGGCCCTGAACACAGCGCTGGGTGGGGATCAGCTTCACCTGCAGGACAGTGGGCTTCAGGAACTTTCCAAAGCCATTATTGCTGAGCTTCGACACATGCCTGGCAATGAGGCCTGCGCAGACTGTGGAGCTCCAGGTTGGCCAGTCATTCTTATATATGGTTACAGAAGTACAAGCATGCAATTACATTTGTTTTATGAGCATAATGAATAATCACCAGCTGTGTCTCGCAGATCCAACATGGCTGTCGACCAATCTGGGCATCCTGACGTGTATTGAGTGCTCCGGCATCCACAGAGAGCTAGGGGTCCACTACTCCAGGATCCAGTCCCTCACTCTGGACCTACTGAGCACCTCCGAACTACTGGTACTAAATAGACACATGGGAACAGACAGACATTATGCAACAATGTGCTATTCTTTGAAATGTCTTCATGTCACATATTTGTGGATGTATTGTGTGTCACTCCAGCTGGCCGTCAGTATTGGCAACACTCGATTCAATGACATCATGGAGGCAGGGCTTCCAAATGACTCTGTCAAACCATTTCCACAAAGTGACATGTGAGTCTGATTTATAATTTAAGTGATCATGAAAATGAGTTATAAATACACACTTCCTTTGACATTAAGAATGGCTTCAACAATGCCAGCTTATTAGTTTATATTATTGAATTGCATTTGCTTAACAACCAGGAATGCCAGGAAGGAATACATTGTGGCAAAGTACGCTGAGCGTCGCTACGTCCTACGCAGAGAAGAAGCAAATCCTAGCCTGCTTTATGAAGCCGTGAGGAGCCGTGACCTCGCTTTGCTTCTGCAGCTCTATGCTGAGAGAGCAGATCTGGCCAAACCACTCACACTCCCCGAAGGACAGGTAAAGATAACTTAAAGCCACAAGTGGATTACCACACATTCATTTCCTCCAGAAAGCTGCCCTGTTAGGGTGGGGAAAGCTTGTAATAAACCTTTATTACGCAGTGAAAAATTTAAACTTTTGACATTCCTGCAAATGATGTGCGTTTAGTTTGAATGACAGCTACATCCTGACCGGGTCGTCCATCCAGTTTGTTTACAGGTTTAAAGGGAGAGGTTTTAAAATGCTGCTTTGTTGTTTTTACTTTAGAAAAGTTGACAGAAATAAAGACAGAAATCCACCTAATGTTTACAAAAATATATCTATATGACACAGTGCTCATATAATGCAAGTAAACAGTTGCAGTATTTGAAATATATTTATGGGTGGGTCATGAGAGGCCCGCCCATCTCTTTTGACCTTTAATTTAGTCTTTACCCTCCTCTGTTGTCTCTCTCCAACGCCTCGCCTTCAAGTCTTTAATCATATTCTGCCCTCCTGTTATGGACTTCCTAGTCAGCGCATGTGCGCGCGTGCATGTGTGTGTGCTTGTTTGTGTTGGTTGGCTTTCATTTATTATTTCAGCTCTTAGTTCAGAGCTCATGTCTCTGGAGAACAAATAAGCCAGGCTCATTGAATTATGCAGGCTCTTCTGTCTTTCTTCTGGCCCTCCTGTTTGCCCTTCATATAAACAGATAAGGCCTGAAGCTTTTAGCAGTTTTTAACACAACATCATGAAACAGTTGTTGCATGGTCAACCTCTGACTTAAGCTTTAGTGTAATCATATTTGTAAGACTGATTTTTAACATAATGTGCAGCCACTTCAGGTGATTGACTGAAGTAGCTATGCAAAAAAATATGAAAACAATATGTAGTACAGATGGAAGATCTCTTTAAATGTCACCAATTTGACTTTATCTTTGCTTTCCACTAAGGGACTCAAGGAGACAGCGCTCCACCTTGCTGTGCGTCTGGAGGAAAAAAGCTCTCTGGCACTTGTGGATTTCCTTTGTCAGAACAGGTCAGACATTGATATGTAGCATGTTTTACTTACTTTGCATGGACAGTTTGGTATTTGCTTTAGTACAGTTTTATGCCAGCTATCAAATCTATACATTCATCTTACAGTAACTGTCTGGAGAAGAGAACCGCAGAGGGGAACACGGCCCTTCACTACAGCGTCTTGTATCATAAGCCTGAATCTCTTAAGTTACTCCTCAAAGCAAAGGCAGCGCTTCAAACGGGTACATTTTACTCTGTTAATTGTATTTCTCTTTTGCATAGTGTCACAAGTAGAAAGCCGCTATTTTTTCTTTCTCCTGTAGTGAACTCGGCAGGAGAGACGGCCTTGGATACTGCCAGGAGATTGCAGCATAAACAGTGTGTCGAGCTGGTGAGATCTCACTTCCCCTTTAGCTTTTAAAGTTTTTAATTCATAATACTCAGAACACACACTGGCAGGAAGTAAGTTCAGCTGAGGAATCAAGTTGCAACATTATAATACCTACCAGAAATCCAACTCCAGAAGCAAAATGACCCAATTTCCACAGCTGGAAACACTACCTTGAAATAACTCCCTGTGCAGCAGAGCTCAGCTAGGGAACCCTATCCTCATTGGATTCCAGTGTGTATCATTCATAAACTGGTTTTATTTTCTTACCGGCCATCTGCCCTGCTGAATCAGACCTGCCTTGAGTAACATCCTGTTTGATTGTGAGAAATCTTAGAAAAGAATCCTTTGTGGAACAATAAAAAAAAAAAAAAAAAAGTTAGACGAGTAAACTACAAAATTCTTGCGTTGCATAATCGGCTGTACAACTTTTAGCTTGCAATGACACACGACTGTTTATGTGGAAGGATGTAGACAGACTCTTTGGACTTTTGGTTTCACTTTGGTGAAAAATGTTGACCCAAGAGTCAAACTTCCCCTTCATGCCTTTTTTCCTGCTAGCTGTAATTTTTGTCTTTAACATAACAGCTAACAAAAGATTGCAACGTTTACTATTATTAGTAGTAAAAACAAACAAACAAAACTACATTACAGCAAAACGTTAACAAGCAAAATAAAGAGAAGACGACAATCAAGTCAGCATAGGAGTGAAATAAATTAGGTTTGATATGACAAAGTTAACCGATCAAATAAAGTCGTGTGTACTAATGTAGATAGTTAAATATTCTTTTTGTGCTCTTTTGTGTTTTTTAGTTGGAGCTGGCGCAGAGTGGGACGTTTAACTCTCAGATACACGTAGAGTTCATGTGGGAGACGCAGTCTCAGGAATTCTATGATAGTGAAGATGACCTGGATGAGAGGGTAAATGCCACACACACTAACCACAGTCATTACTGACTTTACCTTTAAGTCAAAGCTTGGCCTTTTTCCTTTCATTTTACATTATCCATTTTGGAAAGTTTATAAATAAAATTTAATGAAGAAAGATGAGGCGGCGCTATAGAAATTAATGTTTTGTCTATTATCTTCTAACTCCAGGTGAGCCCATTACCCAAAAGCCGATCTCCTCTGTCATCAAATGGAGGTGGTGGACACTGGAGTGTCAGTTCTTCCGCTGCTAGTACAAGTAGCAGACCTTGTCAGGCTTACGAGAATATAGAATTTCTATATAAAAATCCACCAGTCAATAGCGCCCCCTCTGGAGCTTCAATGCCTCCGCCACTGCCAGCTAAATCCATCCAAAGAGGTAAACTACGTTATACAGATTCTCTAGATTAAAAATAAATGAATGAGTTATTTAAGCCAATGCTAGTTTTATCAATTTACATTGTTGCTCTTGTTCTTCTTTTTTTGCCCTCCACAGGCCGCTCAGACCCACAGATCTCAGCCACATCGCATGAAGGAAACCAAATTCCACGACGCTGCTCGAACCCGTCCTATCACTCATCCAGTCCCCAGGTGCAGGCACGACAGAGTCCTCCTTCAGGAAATACAGAAAACCAAGGCCAAGGTGGGAGACCCCCTAGGTCTCCAAATGGACAAGCAAGCCTGCTCAGGGCGCATAGGCAGACATGGGATGGTCATCTTGGTTTGAGTTCTGGATCTCAAAGTGGTGCCACATCAGGTTTTTCTCAGAATCACATAGGGCCTGTCAGGTGAGGAAGAAGAATGTGAATCTAGCTCCTGTTGTTTTAATACTACACAGTTTAGTATAATTTGATCTTGTTATTTCTGGGTTATTTTTCCAGTTCGGAGAAGACCACGTCATACCGCCGCACGAGCAGTGGAGGAGGCAGCCAGGGAAAGTGTAGCGTTTTGTCTTCGGCCTGTGTGGGCAGCCAGGAGGATCTGTACTCCACCCCAGGAGGGAATAGTAAAGCCCTTACCCCAGCTACTGCTCCAGTCCCCGCCCCTTCGTCCTCACCTGATTTGACCTGTATCCCACGACCTCGCAGGAATGCTATGGTACAAATGACAAAGACACCTTTTTGTATTATTTTTAAATAAGTTCAAGTTCTCTATGTCACACGCTTCCATTTCAGGAGTTTTTCACTGGGGAAAAAACGCTTAAGAGATTTCACAGTCAGTGTATGAATTTGCTGGTGGCACACTGAGAAGCATAGCTTACAGAAGCATATGTCTTTTCCAGGTTTCTAACAGCAGGCCACATCAGAAGCGCGTCAAGGCTTTGGTGGACTGCCGAGCTGTCAGTTCTGAGCAGCTCGCCTTTTTCAAAGATGAAATTATTGTGGTCACAGCCACTAATGACCCCCACTGGTGGGTAAGTGTAACTACAGATTCATTACAACCTATTTCCCACTCAGTAGCAGCTTTCTGCATGAAGGCCCAGCCATCAGTCTAAGATAACCTTGTTTATTCACCCACTACATACTTTTTCTGTCAGTAGTTTACTCAGGAGTCAATCCAACAGTTATTACTATTTGGCATTTTTGTGGATTTGTATATTTATAAACTCAGAGTAAAGTACAGTAAAATTAATTACCAAAGTTATAAAAGTTAAAATAAATTGACTGGAAATAGTACATAGAGGGATTTGATTGACAGACATATATTTTTCCTAACAGACTGGTCACATAGAGGGGGATCCATCCAGGAGTGGGGCCTTTCCTGTAAACTATGTACACAAACTAACAGACTGAAGAGGGAACACAGTATTCTTCAAAATGGCAAAATCAACCATTTGATCCTTGGAAGTTGATCATCACAAGTTGGAATTTATCCAGGAGTGGACTGTATTATTTTTCTTGGATACAACTGGAACTGACAACATTCCCACATAACGATTTCTTGGCAAAGGGATATGTGAACATTGCGACTTTAGGATTTTAAACATTTATTCATCCCTAGAAGGCAATAACAAGAACTGAAAGCTTTCATGCCACCCTTTCTAAAACCCTAAACAGCTATTAAAAGGAACGTGTTGTGCATTTATTGTCCAATGTTCATTTGACCATTAATTATATATTTGTATAGCAAATGCTGAAGTTGCTTATGCTGATCTAGGACTTGTACATAGAGGCAATATTTACTTGTAGGGCAGAAACCCTGTAAGGCACTTTAAACTCTGAAGGAATCTTCAGAAAAGCTGGCACAGCTGTAAGTGTGTACATAGCCAGCTACTGAATCGGGATGTAGCTTCCCCCCCTTTTCCTTTGTTCTTAATGGAAACCGTTGAACTGTTTGGAATCGCAGTATACTGTGACTTGGATATAAGGTTCAAACCTGCTCAGTGTCTCAGTGCCGCCTTCCCGGGAACCTGCCAGCCAGTCTGCCTCCTGCAGGCGTCTGGACACCCCAAGGAGAGATCAGAAACTTTAGCCCAGCCGTGTTGACTCTCTGCATAGCTCTCTGGCGGCATGGAGAGCAGAAGATCCGGTTTCTTTTGGCTGTAGGCACTATTCTCTGGAGAACATGAAATAACGATGGTGTTAAGAAAAAAAAAAAAAAAAGACTTCTGTATTACCAGAAAATGGCACTTTAAGAGGGCTTGTTAAGAATAGCATCCTACTGCAGTAATTTGTTCAGTGAACACTTCTTTTCATACACACACAGTGGCCTTCAGGATCCTTTAGGAAAGAAAGGATAGGAAAGCAGAGAATGGGAGAGCTTTCACTGCCAGACGTAAATCTTCAAATCTAACACATTTCATAGAATTTAACCCACAACTTCTTGTACATACGTGTCTGAAATGTCTATATATGTGCACTCATCCAGAGTATATAACACCATTTTTACATTTTATGTATCATAAATGATTATATCATTACAGATAATCTTACTTCATGTCACGAATTTGATGTCCTCTCATTTGACATATTTTGTCTTCTGGTGTTTTGTTAGTTGTTAAATGACTGTGGATGGGAGCGGATGGACACAGATGCATAATATATTCATAAAAGCATTCTTTCTCATTAAACTAAAAACTTGTCACAGTTTCTTCTGGCAAATAAATCATGGGAGAAGCAGGTTATCAAAGATGACAACAGTTTACTGCAGCTGTAAGTAGGAACTAGCAGATTAGCTAATTTCATTGCGTGTATTTGACACATACTCATTAAACTTCTTTAACTCCTGTGATGTCTTTTATACTTTTACATAAGGTCAGATATTTTGGTACCAGGGATGTCATCTACTAATCATAAGGTTGGTGGTTCGATCCCTGGCTGATTGAGTTATTGTGCCAAACTGTTACTGGGCGAGATTCTGAAGCCCGATTCGCTCTGGATGTGTTAATCGGTGTGCAAGTGATATAAGACATGAGTTGCATAAAGTACTTTGAGTGCTTAAGTGAAGTAGGGAAGTGCTATATACAAACCAGTCCATTTATTTCAGCACATTATTAAAAGTTGGTGGAATGGTAACTCGAGACAGCAATCAGGGAGATTAAAATGCACTTTACTGTCTTGTCTCCAGCTGCCTGTGGCTGCGACACAGTATAATCTAGGCTCAACACTGCCAGATTATGAAATGTGTGACTTATAATACTTAAGAATACACTAATCCCTAATAGTCCATATTCTGAAAACCTGAACTCATTTAAGATCTTTAGAGTCTAATATAAGACCTGCAAAAAATTACTTTGTTCTAATCAACAGGTTAAAACCTCTTTTTTAAAAAAAAGAATAAATTGAATTTTAATTTTGACATTTGCTTTTCCACCTTTTTCTTTTTCCGATATTACCCCCCATTTTATTCTTAAATGACTTCCTACAGCTAAATCTCTTCAGCCGTCTCTCTTGGCTGTATTCTCTACAGTTCTGTGTTATTCCAGCTTCACTTACTCTCCATCCAGATGTTGCTTATCCCCAACCCTCTGTCCCAGAGCCAGGATGACCAAATTCCAACCTGTCACTTACATAACACTTAACTAACAGCCAGGATAATAACTCACTCTACCACATACTAGTCTGTTCTGCTGGCTGAGCAGCCCTTGTGTAAACCCATATCCGTTGTCCTGTCTGGCTGTACTAGTACACCCAGAGTATATAAATGTCAGCTGTAAAATATTATTTTCTGAAAACCTTTAAATAACAAATATCCGTTCGCTAATAGGCCTATCTATTTTATCATTACATACACGAATACAAGAATGCACAAATATAATTTAATGTAATACACTGAAATATTATAGGCATCTATAAAATGTGGAGTAAAATTAATGATTCCAAAGCAATTTTTTGTAAATATAATAGGTTTGAATATAAATTTGCAAACTCTTAAAATTAATAAAATGTAATGGAGATTATACTAACTTCCTAATACTCAAGATAGTGAAATCTGTGTAAAACCCATACACATGCTTCTTATTAACTGAGAAGCAGTAAAATCACTGGCTTAAAGTGATATAAGACATACTTGTTTGCAATAATGAGCACTTAGAAGTGGGATATATTTGAGTAATTATGCAATTTCCCTGAACAGAGGGTTATCAAGCTTCCACTTAACTGCATAATGAGCTAAGAAAGGACTGTAATGGACAAGCAAATGGCTAAATGGCACACTCACTGGTAAGACATGCTAAATGTATTTGCTGGATGATGCTTTCACAGTTTGTTCCTTTCTGGCCTGCAGCAGTTACGTCAAAAAAGCAGTTTTCTGCTGACCTGGGCCTACACTGCTGTGAGCTACTGCAAGCTGCTGCTGCAAGGTGACCCTAATAGTTCTTAAACCTCCCACGCAACGAGAACACAGATTAAATTTAGAGATTCCATCTGAAATTTGAGCACTTTATATTAGCAGGTTCTGGGGAAGGAGGAAAAAAAGCAGCCTATTTCTGCAGCATTTGAATCATTAAGTCCATTTATTCTAATAATTCAGGCTATTTTACAAAAAAAAAAAAACACCCCTATAATGCTTAAAATGAAATCATACTAGCCTTGCACAATGTGGCTCTGTGCCTCAAGTTTGTAACAGTGTCAAGAGAGCAAAAAGAAGTAGTAGCAAATTCAAGCAAAATAAGAAAACAGGGCAGAACATTCAGTATTTCACTTTCCAGCAAAAACCACAAGCCTGTTTTTCAAAAGTACATCAGTTACATCAAGGTTCAGGAGATAATTAACTTCCATTTCAGCTCAATTTTTAACACTGAGAGAAAATCAGTGGCCACAACCCTGCAATTAAGCATATAACATTGACTAAAATCTGATTTAACATTCATACTATAGTAGAATATACAGCTCTCAATCAGTAAAAATATCATACTGTGAATATTTGACACCTGATTTACCGGAAATGAAAAGCTTACAACATAAATATATTTATATATATATATTATACCACATCACACCACACAGTAACAAACACAAAATATTAAAAACGTTCTAAGGATGAATAGCAATCAGAAAAGTAGTTTTGGATCTGTGGTCGGCCAGCGTCTGAGTCTGTAAAGGGCTGTAAAGAGATGCAATTGTGGTAATAGTTTCCACATCTTCAAAAAGAGTTAAAATCCCTCGTATCAAAAGTTTAAGTAATTCCAGCAGTACAGAATGAACACAAGAGCATTTTTCTGTTTTGTTTTTTGCAAACCACAGGTCCAAAAAAGATACATGTACGGTAATTATTATATTGGAAGAAAAAAGATAACAAACAGCAAAAAAAAAAAAAAAAAAAAAAAAAAGCAATAAACATTACATTCATTCTGCAAGTGGGCCCAGAGATCTTTGGGAAACATAGTTGTTGTTATTTTCATTCATAGAAAACACAAAAGGTGCAGTCCCACAGCAGTGCATGACTAGTGTGGGTTTTTTCCTGTTCAGACAAAGATGCTTCAGGATGAGGTCTATGATGGCCATGAGTTAACCTGTTCATATATCATTACCATCGGTATAGGAACTGCCAATGCACACATACTGGATAAGGCATATTGAAAGCAATCTACAGTATAGGTCAGCTGGATGATCAGTTATAACTCAAGCTATATACATAGGACCATGAATACACGTTTAAGGCCTATGAGACCGTTTTGTTCTGCAAAGCATTTTGCTATCAACTAGCAGAGCTGAATATCGTTTGGTATATGTGCACAAGCAAGCAGTAGATAAATACCTTAGTCATGTGGAATTCTTAAATAGAGTTAGTCAACATTCAGTGATAAGGTCGGTTGCTCAGCGGTAACACTGAAGATGCCGTTTCCTTTGCTTGAAGGGGTACTCCAGTGATTCTGTAAGGTAACAAAGTTGAGGAGCTTTCTTGATAGACCTCTTTGTCTTCCAAATCAGATTTTTGAATAATCTCTCCATTTTGCATCAGTTTTCACAGTCCTAGTGGTTTTCTATTTACAAGCGAGCTGAAATTTATGTGTAAAATTCATGGAGTACCCCCTTTATATTGTGCTGAAAAGAAACTTAGACAAACAGACCATTTAAGCCTTTAAAATGAAAGTTAGAAAATACCCCAACTATTTCTCTCACTGCTTTCAATCCTATAAAATTTAAGCTTATGCTTTAGTTGTCACATCTACTTTAACATGCATCTTGTTTTTTTTGCTTGTTTTTTTTCCTCACATTGACTGCATGATTCTGAAACTGAACGCTTTACGAGTTTCTTTTGAAATTCCTTACTTTACAGAGTCACAGACTCTGTGATGCATCATCTCTGAAACATTTACAACAGGAATGCCTAAACTCACGGGATTTTGTAGAAACCTACAGAAAGCAATGACACCGTCACATGACAAGCCCTGCTCCTTTGTTCTTCAGAGAGGTCGTTTATAATAGGAGAGCAAACAAAGCACCATCAGGGATTGTGAAAACCCTTTTTTGATTCTTTTGAAAAGTAGCACACGTAGATGGAAACCAGCACGAACTCACAGCTCTATACATGCTTTTTTTCAACATATGCTGCACTGAAATTGAGTGCTTGCTTCTTTGCTATAACCTTCAAATGCCGGAAATAGATGTCCCCGGAGTACTGGCTGTGAATTCTGGACACTCAGACCTAGCTGAAGCAAGGGATTGGTGGATCAGGTGAATACAAGAGATACTTTGTCATTGTTAATCCAAAGACAAAAGAAATGGGTGGAATGAAATGAAGAACTGGGGCAAAAAAATGAGAGCAATCTATATGTAAAAATTAGGTCACCTTCTGCACATGGGACAATGCTTTGCAGTGCATTAAGGATTACAATGTAATTACAGGTTGATCGCTTAATATAACGAGACAAATATATATATTCTGGATGTTCATACACATCTCACAAATAAACCCTGAATGTGAACTACTTATCTAACTTAAGAGTGCAATCACAGGGGGAGCCGCTGCAACTCTTACAGTCACATGCAGCACCAAGACACAATCAGCAAATGGTGATGCTCTAGTTTTCTAAATGATAGATGCATGGGTGTAGCCCCAAATCATAAACCGTGTTAGCCACAAGCTTTTATCAATAGTATTTCCTCCTACGCAGGCAGTTCTAGTAGATTTAGCGCCTAAATCCTTCAGTAGATCTCTAAAGCCAAATCATAGTGTTGTAGTTACAGCTCTCTGCTGGATACATTCTGTATGTTTGCGCAAGAGGATTTAGGATAGAGAGACAACTGGTTGCTAGGTGACTGGATAAAAAGAGGCCACAGGTGGAACTCTTCCAGCCCGAATTTCTTTCCTGCTGTCTTTCCTTGTTTATGCTGCCAGAAGCAGATGCTGTGGTAGTGGACGAGTGGTCTCAGAGAAGCCAAGGCACGTTTACTTTGTAGGTAAAAGCCATCTAAGTTCTAGATTTGTTCCTTTTCTATTTTTCTGGTTCTTACATCTCCTGTTCCTGCATACTTGGTTTTACATAACACTGCAGCAATCTTTAGCTTGCTCTTTCACTGCCCTTCACTTCCCTCACAACGAGGCCGAAAACGCAGATGCTTTCATCCTTTCTTCATCTTTTTTTTTCTTAAATCAATTCACAGAGTTGTTTCTTTTCCATTTTGTGAATGGGTAAATATTACATAATTCTCATAGCCGTATAACTTAAGCCATATACACGGAAGCTCTCGGTACCTCACAGTCTAAACCTCTCCTTGCACATCACCTGAAATATGACTCATCCATGCACCACAGATAGATTCTATCTGAATCTCTCCTGTGCA